CCACTGAATGTCGTAAGAGTTATTCCAATGGTTAGCAGACAAAAACACAGTGAGCACAACTCAACAATTTCTCACAGAGTCATATCATTTGTCTGAATGTCATTATAATTGGGGAGCTCTTCTTGTTATGCCAACTGTGTAAGATGGGCTTTCAAGCTGTGACATTGTTTGAACCACTTTAGCACAAAATAAAAATGTGGAAAATAATCCAGCAAAGGCAGAAAGTTCTCCTCTTCCTCCTCATCCCTCATCTTTTTTTAAAGCGGGATTTAGAAGTTCATCTTAGCAATTTAAATACCAAATTTTATTTGCAACAGTATTTGTATTCCTGATTAATAGTTAAAGGATATATTTTAGTTGGTTAAATTTGTTTCTTAACATTCTATGCAGTTAAAATCATATCATTTTCAGATAATGAGGCACAAACTGGCAATTAATCTTGCCCTATAAGATTTGATTCAGTATTTGTTTATATTGTTTATTCTTTATGAAGTTTAATTTCATAGGATTCCCTCTTCTGATATAAATAATACAGAAGCAACATGGCCACCCACCCTCTCTTCTCCCATTCCCAACACAAAGAAAATCAGAACATCAGAATTTAACAAAAATCCATTTATTCAGAGCAGGATTTAGACCAGTCAGAGTTCTAAGCTATGGGAAGGGCTTCTGGCAAGTATTAACAGAGAACAAGGTTATGCAACAACTAAAGTTGGCAAGAATGTTACCAAGATACAAAATAAACTCTTCAAAGGAGTTAAAAGATTCAGAAATAAAAAAAGGGGAAAAAATGAATGCATGAAGAAACAAAGCATACCTTAATGTATGTCATGTGAATTATAAGAAAAGTTTAATTTATGAAAATTTCATCTTTGAAACCTAATGAATGAAAAATATTTTTGTATTATTTATAAAGTTTTTATTTTTTTAAATTTTCATAACATATTATCACATGTATACTATTACATAGCCAACACGGTAGTGTATTATTAAATGTTTACATCAATTCATCTTACCATCAACTCCCAAAAACAATTATTGGCTCTTCTGCTCTCCATACACCATATTTGTACCTTATCCGTCACTTTCTTCTCCCACTCTGCTCCCCCTCCCTACCTTCTTTCTTCCCTCTGTCATCCTTGTCTTCTCTTTTCCCCTCTCTCTCCTTTTCCTCTCCCCTTTCCACTCCTTTCTCTCCTTCTCTTCCCCCCCTTGCCCACTCTCCTATCCCTCTCTTCTAAATGAAAAATAATTGAGAGGCCTTTCCAATTGTGAAATCCAGAGCTATAGCCTGCTTAGCTCTTCATTTACTTTTCTGTAACCATATTTAAGCTGCAAATGACAAAGTTTTATCATTTATAGCATAGTTACCCCCTTTTAATTGAAAAGTCTCTCAGATTAATTTAGATTAGATGTTAGCCACTACCTACTGAGGTAAAATCTAAAAGGCATGAGACAAATAACAGGAAGTAGAATTAAAGAAGAAAATTCAGATTCCAGTTTGTCACATTACATGATTATCTAGAATGGGATCAACAGGGGTTGAGTTAAGTGGTTTTGGTTTCTCAGTAAAATAAAGTGACTGTTATCTGTGGCCATTTGAAAAGTAAGACTAGTACTAATAGATTTCAAATAAAGCTAATGAAACAGCTACCAATCTCTTCCTTTCCTATTATCACCTGATATACAGGATATGTAAAAGAATAATATTAAATATAATTAGATTTTAGTCTTACTTTTATTACTGCTATGATTACACATAGGGCATTTGCATCTATGCATTGGGGGTATTGTTATGTACATATGATTTTATGTGTGAGAGAGGCATGCGTACGAAAGAGGTGTGCAAGGTTTCTGGTTGGGAAATTCCAGAGACCTGTGGATCTTCTTAAGTTTTACGTATGATTTAATCTGAAGCCAATGTCAAATCATATTACAGAATGAACCATTATGATCACAGGTACAATATTTTCTGATACAAAAACGTCAATCCCAAGGGTTATCCAAACAGACAACGCATTCAATTTCTTAAAACGACGCATAATAATTGTAAATCTCATGCTTTTTCAGTAGATCCTATGCCAATATGATAAGGTTCCATGTGGATCCACTTTTTATACCCTTCTGTTTTTGTAACTAAGAAAGGATACATGTGAGAAGAATTTGTATCTTTTCAATTTTCATTAAATAGTGAAAGACAAAAAGTTAGAAACTTAAGTTGTGACAAATAAAGTCTTTTTAATGTGTCTTCTTTTCTTGTGCTGGTTTTATAAGTTTGGGTTTCAGAGAGGCAGAGATGTGTCCAGGGAGAACTTTAAGAAGTTTGATGTCCTTAGTTATTTGATAGGGGTACCACTGATGAGATTGCGCTAATGCATCTACAATGCATAATACATCCCCTAATTTGAAGCAGTATACTAATTGTGCAGGCAACAATTTAATAGGTACATGATATATTTCTTCATGATCTCAAAGACTTAACTGCAGAGATTCTGCTAGGTAAGTTCAATACAGAATACAAGACTGAACATTACAATAAGATTTCACATGACACAAAATATAATACCTTGCTCTTGTATCCCAATGTTAGGGTTTTTAAAAACACAGAAATTGGAATAATACTCTGCAGTTATCATAAACTGAAATTTGGTTTCCTTGTTAAACGTATGCTACTTCAAAACTACGTTGAATTTGATAAAGACACTTGTCTCTTAGTAACTACCCATGAAACAAGTGTTTAATTTTTCATAATAAACAGTTGGATATAGGAAGCATAGAAATGGAAATACTGGAATAATTTCAATCTGCTTGATAGCAATGAAATTTAGAGAAACACCTTTTTCTTTTTGCATATTTAAGAAACCTGTACTTTATTTGAGGCAAATAAAATGTGTGACACTTCACATTAGAGCACAAGTGCTATATCCCTTGAGGTGTCTGGAAGTGGCAGTCCTTGTCTGAAAAAGGTATTTTTGTTCTTAATGGCAGTTCAGCTCTTTAACAACCCTCCATTCTTAGGGGTTCTTGCTGTACTGTACAGTGCTCTCCAATCATGAAAATGTCATGATGGTAAAAATCCTATTGCTATAAATGATCAGATATTTGCAGATTGTTTTTGAAATGGTTTGTTAGATTCCAAAATCAGGCAAAAGCTTTTAATATTTGCTGGCATCTGTACTGAAAATTGCTCTTTAAAAGTTACTTCTGAGCAGATTGTTTATAATTGCACTGACATTTCATTTCACTGACATCTCTTCACAGAGAGGGAGACTTATTCACAAATCAGTACTAGCAGTGTACTTGCATGTAAGATATTCTAGGCAAACATCTGCTGAAATTAGCACAACTGCTTAACTATTTCAAGAGAAATGAATTCTATGTTTCTGGGATGCTGTTCCTCCACTTAATCTTTAAGTTAAATTTCATTTTTTTTTACATATGGGTTTCCCTTTAAAATTTGATGCCTTTTTCAAATTTTGGGTATAGAGTACATACAAACTTCTTGTTTTATACCTTACTATATCCACCTACATAATTAGCAGTGTTTCAGTGGCATGAAAAAAATGCTGTCAAATTTATTTCAGGCCAAAACTCTCAATAAAGAGATCACAAAACTAGGATTCTATGGTTACAGATTATTAGTGAAAATTATATGTTTTAAAGAAAAGAAAGGAAATACATAGTAATGTGTCAGAGGAAGTTTATCAAAGGTCAGGAAGAAAACAAGTGCTTTTATAAAAGACTGGAAGCCTTTTATGGACTTTTTGCTGAAAATAGAAAAAAGTGAAGTAGTGATTTCCAGATTTTCTGATGTAAACAAGAGGTTAAACATTACAGAAATGATCTTGTAATATGATTTTAAAAGGGGAGAGGGATGTTCGTTTGTAGATACTACAGAGAAAACCAGGAGTTGCTTCTTTGTCTTTTTTTCCTTTCTTTTACTAAATGTATTGCTTCCTCCCCTTTCCTTTCTTCTTTTTTCTAACTTTTCTCTATATATTTACACATTTATCTACATACATTAAATTAAAAGTTTTATACACACACATATAGACAGTCATATAGATGGCACGATGGCTCAGTGGTTAAGTCACTGGGCTTGCTGTCTGGAAAGCTGGCAGCCCAGGTTCAAGACTGAATGCCATGTGATGGGGTGAGATCCCATAATTGCCCCAGCTCCTGCCAACTTAGCAGTTCAAAAGCATGCAAATTGATAAATAGGTATCACTTCAATGGGAAGATAACAGCAGTCGATGATGTCATGCTGGACACATGACCACAGAAAGCCTTTAGACATTTCAAAGGCCTTGAAACAGAGATGAGCACCACTCCCTGTAGTCGGCAATGATTAGTGGAGTAAAATCTGCAGGGATTCACACACTCACACACACACACACACACACACACCCCAAAGACATATTTATAGTTTATATAAAATCTCTCCCTGAGATTTGATCTGATCCAATCTAATCCAACATTGGATCAGATTTATATTTATGTGAAAAGAACTTTAAGGAGGAGGGGGAGTATACCAATGAGCATATATGTCATTTTACAGTCAAGAGTTCTAGTATGCACCTTGTACTTTTATTTAAACTAGGATCTTACACCTCGTGATAACAGCTCCATGTGGCATCTTTAATATGATCCCAACAAGAAAAAAGTCCTATGAAAACAAATAAGATGTGGGAGAAATTACATAAGGTTGATGAAGACTTTTGCACTTAAAAAATCATAAAATGAGTCAAAGCACAGAAACTTGCACTTAGATAACTAGATTTCTTCTCAAAGCCAGCAGAGTAACCTTTCTTTCCTCTTGCTGTTTGAAGAAGAATAGAATAGAAAAAGAACATCAAACCTTCCTTGAAAAGCCTATCCTGGGACTACAACTGCTGGAAAGCTTTGCCTTCTCATTTCTTCGCGGGTGGGAGAGGGAGAGATGAAGCGCAGACATGCTCAGTAGCTGATGTCTCCTCCACAGCAACAGTGTCTACAATATTAAGAGGTTGTTTGCTTCAGAAGCACGGTGAGAAAGCCATCTTTGCTAACGACTGAACGAGAGAAACAAGGCTAAATCATCAAGCAACAAGCAATGTAAGTAAATCTTGATTAAATCGGGGAAGGAAGCTTCAGAACGGACGGAGGGCTCGAGAGAGAGCGAGTGTTGTCAAAGTGGCGCTCGGCGCTATCCGGCACTTATGGTGCTGAAAAACTCAAAACACTCTTCTCATATATGGGCGTGTTCCTCGTTCTAACAGAGCACTGGAAATCCCCAGAATTTTAGGGTTTCCTCTCAAGACTTTCATCCTTTAAGACTTTTTACTTCGACTGTTGTACATTTCCACCTTACAAGAGATTTTATTTATAAATATATACATAATACCCAGTCAGTCCATGAAGGTAAGGAAAAGTTGCTATTTGGGTTCCTATCTATACCATAGTCAGATTATCCCATCCTCCCATTCTGTAAATGGATTTACAAGTAATGACAAGAAAAGGTTTCTGTGGAACAGATAACCATGTGAAAGAGAAGAAAGTAATAACTAGGTCTCTATCAGAATGTCCATCAATAAATGAACAAGCTCATATTAGATTGCCCCTAGGGTCAATCAAAATCTAGAACATCTAATATGATGTCTTGCAAAGTGGCATGGTAGCTTCATTTTCAGCACTGGATCAGATTGACATCACATGATGTGCAAAACCATTTCTCACTTGGCTATTGTGAATTTAAAGGAAGTAAGTAAATAAATAAATAAATCAGAAGACACTTTTTTATGCTTATATCTGGCCCAATGGTCTTGAGGTAATGAACCTATCCCCAATAGAGAGATTCAGAATTCAGTGGTAAAATACATTCTTTCCATTTATAGTTTTTTTTATTCCTTCCCTAGTCTTTTTAATAAAGGACCATAATTGGCATTACTCTTGAAGAATCACCAGCCTTCAGAACAGAAATTGGATACTTGTTCTGATTAATAGTGGACATTTACTTGGTTTGTTTTATTATATATACAAATAGCTATTATATTTATTTTATTCTTCAATGAAAACTTCACCTACTGTAGCATTTTACAGTTAGAATATGTAGAAAGACAGATCTTTATTGAGCTAATCTCACATTATTTTGATCTGAGCTTTTAATGATATAACTCCAGGCTTCTGATTTCTCTTTTGGGAGTTGGAAAAATTATAGATGAATTCAAACTTCTGTATTTACTTTGCCTATTCCTTTTGTATAGATTCATGGGAGACCATTTAACAAATCAAGGACAGAATAAGCCACAAATTAATATTCTGGGAATTTACGTCTTGGATTCTGAACCTGTTATGTTGTAATATTATGCTTCTAATATTTTACCTAAATAATAAGAAAGGAAATGTGAATAAAAAAGTCTAATACTTAATCTACTCCAAGCTCTTGAGTTGATTAGATTTTAATTAGTTATGCATAGCTAGCTGATAGATGATAGACAGACATTTTGAAAGGATATATATTATTGAACAAAATAGTCATTTTAGTAGTTGTTGAAATGTTTAAAAGGATAAAATAGAGCACTTCTTAGCACTTCTACTATGTAATAATTATTAATGTATTTTAAGATATAATTAACAACTGTGTGTAATATTTCTATTTATATCCCATCTTATTATGTCAAGAATAGTCAAAACTTCAAAAAGGGAGAAAAACCCAATATATCATAATTTACAGTTTAAAAATACTAATCATAACAAAAGTAACTAATGCAATTTAAAAGTCATACCTGGGGATGTTCTTGAGGGTTCTTGTAAAGATGCAGATACAGTAATATGGACAAATGAGAATAAAAAGGGAAATGTCTTACCCACTTGTCTAATAATTTGGTCTATTAATTTGCAGGCATCATTATGAGAAGTTTTCATGCTAATCTTATGGCCTGGACAGTTTCATACAAATTAGGTGGTCTCTCAGGTAGACAAGTCTTTAGATTAATATTTTATTGTGTTTGGAAAATAACTGGCAAATCAATTACTTGGCAGGGAATTGATAGCCTATACAAGGAAACTTCACATTTGGGCATATATTTCACAATGTTAATTGCTTTTGTGCATATGTTTGCACAAGTCAGTTTCCAGCACTTTGGAGCTAAAAGTAGCAGCAGATAGTAAATATTTATATTTAATTCTGAAGAGCCAATTGTTCTAGCCCTATTAAATCTATGCCAGAAAAAAGGTATGTTCAATTATTGTTTCACCTGAATGCAAAGCATGCAGAGTCATGCAGTGTAATTCCCTACTTTGTAAATACAGTATGCATTGGGTGCTTAACATGTTTTATACAGTGTCTTTAGTAGCTTCACAATACATGTTATGTATGTTCATTATAATGGTGTTCAGGTAGCCAAGACAAGCACTTAATTCCATGTGACTGAAGGATTTATTCCATTGATCCAGGAAACCAAACATAAATAACAGTTAGCATATTTCTTCCCTTACAGTAGCTTTCTGAATAACCAGAGGCTTGGAAGTCTATTTATATTTGTTTCATCTTAGAATCTCTGAGCAAAGTGTTTTAACTATACATCGGTCTTTTCCAGATTCTGCTGGGTTTAATGTAATCTCCTGTACCTTTCCAGCAGTTATGAACTTGTTCTGCAGTTCCTGCTTTGTTGTTGCCTAGCTCTGTGTATGTAAGAAGACAGGATGACGTCAAATACTTTTGTTTGTGTGAGTGTTCTGTAGTGATTAAGGCACTCATTTCCTGCTGTAGAATTATATAAACTCTGCTAACATTTCAGCTAGATTTAACTTGTTTTGTCTGTATTCCAGCATGACCACATTAATTCAACACTGAAATATGCTACTGATCCTGTAGCTTCAAATGTCTGTACCCAATGCCAGGTTTATGAAACAGTCTATATTGCTAATGGAAGCCTTCCTAAGTAAACATCCTAATGACTTATTGCATTCATTGTTGTTACTACCACTAAAATATACTCCTTTAATATGTTCTATTTTAAATCAGTGATTCTCAATAGCACTCTCTATTCTACTCCAGCTAGTCTATTACTCTACTGCAGACGATCTTCATATAAAAACTGAAATGATACTTTAGGAAATCATGATTATGTGCCATCAAGTCATAGCTGACATAGATAGATTAACCAATAGTGCACTCATTGCCTTGTTGCTGGTCATCCTCTTCTTGTTTCTCCTTTTTATTTTTCCCACCAATAGATCCTTCTCTAGAAAGCTAAGTCTTCACATACTGTAGTTTCCAAACTAGAAAAAATGAGCCTGTTCTGTTCATTCTGAATTCTGTTCATTCTGAACCATTAGTCTCCAATTGCTTATTCTGTGCACAGACAGTCCTCATTTAGAGACCACATTAGGAACCAGCACTTCAGTCATTAAATGAAGCCATTACTAAATGAAATTGTGATAGTGTTTTTTTAATCCTACTTCAGCTTTCCTGTCCTTCACAGATGATCATAAATGTGGCCTTTGTCATTAAGTTACCTTATCACCACTGTACAAGGCAATTCACTAAACAAAGACTACTTATACTTTTTGTACTGAGCACTATTTTATTAATATACTGGATTTTTAATATGAATAACAATGGGACATAACATCATTTCTATGTATTAGAATTATTTAGTTTTTCTATTTATTATTCCAGCTAGATAAACTTTGCTCTGTGATATTCTACTCCCCTACTCAGCTCAGCTGATGTCTATCTGTCTACATATCTATCTAATCCTCTACTCCTATCAACCCCAATCATCAACTTGTATTCCCTATCCATTAATCATATGTAGTTCTCCATGGGCTGGATGTGCTAAACAGCAAATTCCTCAGCATCAAATGCCTGGTTCATTGTAAACCATACTTTTTTTTAGTCAAGGAAAGAAGTAAACAGAATCTTTAGGACTTTTGTAAGTCAAAACCATCTGGAAATGTTAATATCGAAGAACTGTATAGGAAATGTATCTGCTGTGTTACTGTGCCACATTACTCCTGTCTCACTTGGTGGCATGGCGGGTTATAATCATACACAAAAACTGTGCCATGAGTGCATTTCAAGCAATGAATCACTAATTGGATGCAAACATTTATCACTGGTATTCTACTTTTCTATTATGTGAAAGACGTACATTGTTTTACTTATTGCTCTTGGATAACAATGACATCTGATTTGGTGATGTGGGGTGCATAGGTTTTCAACTTCTGTAATTGGCCTGATCATAGTAGCATAAAAACCATCCCCTATAGTTTCTTCACAGAAAATGTGCAATGTGCTCTACATGGGGCTGCCCTTGAAGAGCATTCGGCGACTTCAGCTAGTCCAGAATGCGGCCGTGCGAGCAATTGTGGGTGCACCTCGCTTCACCCACGTAACACCTATCCTCCGCGAGCTGCACTGGCTGCCTGTTGATCTCCGGGTGCGCTTCAAGGTGCTACTTATCACCTACAAAGCCCTTCATGGTAGTGGGCCTGGGTACTTGAGAGACCGCCTACTGCCAATTACCTCCACTAGACCGATACGATCACATCGATTAGGCCTCCTCCGAATTCCATCTTCCAGCCAGTGCAGACTGGCAACTACCCGGAGGAGAGCCTTCTCGGTGGCTGCTCCGACCCTCTGGAACAAACTCCCCATGGAGATTCGGACCCTCACCACCCTCCAGTCCTTCCGCGCCGCTTTAAAGATCTGGCTGTCCCGGCTGGCCTGGGGTTAAGATTCTAACCCCACACGAATTGTGTGACTGTTGTGCTCTCTTTTTAATATGTTGTATTGTCTCCATGTTGGAATATTGTTTGTCTCCCCCCCCCCTTTTTGAACTGTGAGCCGCCCTGAGTCCCCCCAGGGAAAAGGGCGGCATACAAATAAAGGGAAAACTAAAACTAAACTAAACTAAAAGAATCCTAATCTGTAGAGATTAACAATGAATTATTTATCATATGTATTGTTTATGTTTATTGACCAATTTTCAAGAGAAGATGAACCTAGACTACTGGAGGTTTACTTTATTTTTTACATAGACATTGAAGGAGGATAGTTGGTAAGTTTCTATTCTCCAGAGGTTTTTGATTGAACTTCCCAGCAGCATCAGTCTGCATAATCAGTAATAAGAAATGCTGGGAGCAGAGATATCTGCATGGAATTTTTTTTTTAAAGACAAACGTCTTTGCCTGCTTTTTATGTGCCTTGAATGCATGATGTAAATGCACAGCGCTTTGATCAGACCTTCATGGCTACCTATCTTGACATTTTTGTCCATATCCTGCAGACATCTCTGTATGAAAGCAAACAAATGAAGGACCATAGGAATCTGTCATTCATTTTACACAGTTATACTTTTTTTTAAAATGCCAATAGCAATAGCAATAGCAGTTAGACATATACCACTTCATAGGGCTTTCAGCCCTCTCTAAGCGGTTTACAGAGTCAGCATATTGCCCCCAACAACAATCCGGGTCCTCATTTTACCCACCTTGGAAGGATGGAAGGCTGAGTCAACCCTGAGCCGGTGAGATTTGAACAGCCGAACTGCAGAACTGCAGTCAGCTGAAGTAGCCTGCAGTGCTGCATTTAACCACTGCACCAACTCAGCTCTTCAATACCAGCCACACCTATGCCTTATCATTACCAGTGGTGTAGATTTAAGAACTGTGAATGCAGTCATGAGAAAAATGATACATTTATATGACGTACTGAAAATTGGCTGAAAACATATGTGAAAAATGCTTGAAGCAAGCAGTACATTAATTTTTAAAAGTACTATAATTTGTACTAAATATATAATTTTTAAAAAATTATATATGTAATTAATTTTATGAAGTACAATTATTACAATGATTTGGTTTGACTTGTATTTCCGTTTGTTTTTCTTAAGATCATTGGCACTCAAAGGGTTCATTGTGTGAATGTTTTTTTCTAAAGAAGAACTAGGGATTTATTATACTTTTACACTTTTTCCCTGCCATGCAAAATGTGTGGCTCACAAGACTTTGTGCAAATATATTTGCTGCTTATATCCACACTTTTGCTTTACAGGATGGTATTTTTAATTGGTAGTGTTACAGACTTCATTATACAAATTCTGCAGACAATTTTATGTTTTTCCACTGAACAATTCAAACTTGATCATCATGTGGTTTTTAACAGGGGAAGTGATTTTGTCATATGTTTACTGAATTCCTTCCAAAGTGTTCAGAATGATCAATATAATAATCTTTGTCTGTGTTCACACATTGCACTGTTATCATTTGCTTAATCATGGTTAGTTATTAAATCTTAGTACTTTGGATTCACACAACGTATTAAACCATGGACTATGTGATCAATATATTTTATTGGAATATATATGAAAACCATGTTTTGCTATATATTCTAATCCTGCACACCACCTTTTAACTGTGTTGGTGTCGGTTTGATTACAAATAAAAACTGGTTAGAATATATCATATCTAGTTCTGATGCACAATATATTGGATATTCAAAAAACATGCATTCTGTTATTTCATTGATGCATCCATATAATTTAGGGATTGCCAGTGCTAATTAATAAGTTTTAAGTGAAAGATCATAACAGCAAAAGAAATATATATTGCATGCTTAGAATTCCAAATTCAATTCTCAAGATTTCTAGATAGAATTGAAAAGACTTCCTGCATGAAACCTTGGAAATTCACTACCTGTTAATGTTGACAATATAAACTAATGAGTAATGATTTCATTCATCTGAAGCAGCTTTTCTATGTTAATTTTATTTCCTGCTTAATCCTTCTCTGTCTGCCACACCCTACAGTTCCTTGTTTACTTAATGTTGCTTAGCATTTAAAAAGGCTGAAAGCCTGATGCCAAGGAACATTTCTCAGATTGGCATTGGGTTCTAGGGTTCATCATTCAAATGCCTTTTTTCTAAGCCTACCTTTAATTTTAACTATACTACTAAATTAAAACCATAAATATATCATCAAATGTAATACAGGTAGTCCTTGACTTACAACAGTTCATTTAGAGAACATTCAAAGTTACAAGAGCACTGAAAAAAAGTGACTTATGACTCTTTTTTACAGTTACAACCTTTGCAGCATCTCCATGATTATATGATCAAAATTCAGATGCTTTGCATCTGGTTCATATTTATGATCGTTGTGGTGTCCCAGGGTGATGTGATCCCCTTTTGTGACCTTCTGACAAGCCAAGTGAATGGGGAAGCCATATTCACTTAACAACCAGGTTACTAACTTATCAACTGCAGTGATTTACTTAACAACTGTGACAAGATAGGTTGTAAAATGAGGCAAAATTCACTTAATAACTGTCTCACCTAGCAAGAGAAATTTTGGGCTCAATGTGATCCTACATCGATGACTATGTGTACATTCCCTTATAAAATGCTGCCCTTTAGAGAGAGGGGGAGGGAGGGATTGAGAGAGAGAGGAGAGGGAGGGAGAAGATTGTACTAAGAATTTGTGACATTTACCATGTACTGATAGTGAAAGGGAGCATGGATGGCAATGGAAGAGGAACGGGTTGCTGATCCTGCAAAGGAACTCATTTGTGTTCTGTAGCCACTGTAGGACAGTGGCCATTTTGGCCATCTTCTCTATATGCATTATGAAAATGAGGCTGAGAGATGGCTGTGGGGAGATATAATGGGAGTTAGGGAACATCTATCTAAATGGAAGATGTAGCACAGTACTGACCACAAAGTAGTGACAGAGACATGACAGTACTCAGGCTTGCTGCCCAATACTAGCCTCCCGGTTGCTTCCTCGGCATATACTCCCCCCCCCCCACAGCTTTGCAGCAGGACAATTCTCACAATGGATTTGAAAACATGGCAGGAGAAGAAAATGGGCATAAGCTTTAGAGAAGAGTGTGGCATTACTAAACTAGATGGGTTTCAAAACTGGAAACCATTTAAGAATCTAGAACAAAAAAATAAAGACATCTCTGTCAAAGGTGTAATAGTGGATGATTTCTTCCTTAGGTCAGCTCCAAATCCTTTCCAGGGTGTCAGTTCTGCTTCCAGTCCAGGAGTTCCCCCTCAGAGCAACATGACCAGCAATCGAAGACTGCAGCAGACCCAGGCTCAAGTGAATGAGGTGAGCTTCACCCAAGACATAGTCATATGTGTTATGATTTTTAAATTTGGAACATGTGGGGGGAGGGGGGACAAAACATGGAAGTGAATCAGGCCACAGGTTATACAAACATAGAAACATGGTTATGTTTATGGTTTTATGGTCAAATAATAATTGTTAAGCATATGCATTCTGACATTCTGGAATTTAAAAATAACTGCAGCAAAATACTCAACATGTATGTAAAGCTAATAATCTAGAAATAAGAACACCAATTCATTAATGATCAAGGAGTTCAACATGCTAAATACGATCTGTACAATTAAAAGAAGAGAGAATTTAAGACCCAAGGTACAGATAAATCTACTGATTTCCTTAAATGAAAATTCTCTGTGGTACAGGAAAATGCTCTAAACAGCTGACTCATTGGCACTATCAAGAAGTGAAAACACAGAAATATCCTGCCACTGTTTATCACATGCTCCATGATCAATCAGAAACACAAAGAAACTTTTCCTGTAGTGGGCTTTCTGAAAAAACACAAGTGATTTTGGAGAATACAGTGTCCTTGAAACAAATATTTAGAGATTGAAAAAGTACAGAATAATTGTGTATTACTTGGATGAATCACTGGCTAGTTTAGTGCATCATGTAAAGCAATTTTCCCCCTCAAGTCTGAGGTAGCACATTGTGATAAGACGAGCCATTGCAGCTAAGAAATCATGGTTTATGGTATACTATATTGTCAGCTCAATTAAATTGCAGGAGTTTACTAATCATAGTTAACTAATCATGATTTATCATAATGCATGAATCCAGACATAAATAAGAGTCATGGTAGTCTCAATGCAATGCTACTAAACCTAACCCTTAGATGGCACTACACACTCACATACAGATGTTACATTAATTGTCTGTAAGAGCTTTCAGGAAAAACAGTCTATATAAATAAGTCATTGTTAGCACATGAAGAAATGTTACAATGAATATAGTCAAACATAACTTGCTGTGTAATTTGAAAATTGTGTTGCCTGCAAAGATCTTCAATCTTCCAGAATTTAGGACACCCATGCAAAATCATTTACAAAGTACTCTTCCAACTGGTTTTACAAAGCTGTGTTATAAAGTAAAGGACACTGGAAAAACAATGCTAAACAAACAAAGGAAGTGAAGGCATAGATTTTTTTAAAAATGGAAAAATTGGATCTGCTTAATCTATTTAGGGGCAAATATTTTTAGATCCCTGCAAATATTCAATGTAATCCTTTATAATAACATCAGCTTAGATTAAGTAGCCTGGTGTTTTTCACAAGGCAATGTTTCTATGAATTCTTATCAGCAATTTTAGTTATTATGTGGTTTCAAAACAATAATGTTACCTCATATTCCTTCCATGAATTGAGAAAAGTGTTTTACTATGGAAATCTGAAAATCCAACTGGCTACTTATTTCAACAGAAAATTAAGTTTTTCTTCAGAGGCAAAATCAGTATGTGAAGATGCCATTTTTAAAAACTTTAATAACTGAGCTCATTTTACTCTCATTTAGAAAAAAAATTATTGATTTAAACTTGACCTTCTCACCTTCTCAAGATTTAAGTAGAACCTCAGATTATTTCACTTATTGATCAAAATGTGAAAATGGCCTCATTACTTTATAAGATCCAATTTCCATATACTTCCCTGTCTTACTACAAAAAGTAATTGTTTGACTTAATCTTTCCTTTTTCCATTCAGAAAATGTTCTTAATTTAATATTAAATAGTGTTCTAAAATAATGTGATCATTTCCTCTGTTCAGTAGTCCAATTCTTGCTTAGAATAAATTAACAGAGGGGCAATGGGAAGGTGTCTTCCTACTGTGTCTCTGAATTTCATCCTCCTTGAGCTCCTGGTTCTCAAAATCTCTCTAACCACATACTGACTATGATGAATTCTTAGCCTTTTGGACCCTGCACAAATTAGACGATGCCAACAAATACAGTCTCATTTCTTTTTTGCATACATTTAATGTATGCATCTAGAAGATATGTTAGAAAAAGCATCAGTAGACTTTGTTCAGTATAAACCTATGACAACTTTCAAAATTTTAAATAAAGTTGCCTTGTATACTTTTTTTTCCAGTAAGCAGGTTGTGCTTTACCTCAGAATTATCCTTTCTTCCTTCATCAGATGTTGAAAAAGTGATTCCACTTCAATACTTTATAAGTAGGCTTCCTAAACGCTGTGCCATTTTCAGGTGGTGGACATCATGAGGGTCAACGTAGACAAAGTACTAGAAAGAGATCAGAAGCTTTCAGAACTTGATAACCGAGCAGATGCTTTGCAAGCAGGGGCCTCACAATTTGAAACCAATGCAGCTAAGCTGAAGAGGAAATACTGGTGGAAAAACTGTAAGGTATACTTGTCTACCATATGATACAATGTGATCTTAGTCCAAGAGAAATAAGGACAAACATCAGCCTAAATTCACTGTGTTAGTCAATTAAAATGAAAATGTATATGCACCTGATCAGGAATTTTGTAGTTTCATTAAAATGTATGAGTTGAGATTATAATATTATACAAATAAAGAAGAACAGATTATTGAAAATATTGTAATTACATTTTATGCGTAAAATAGAGTGTTTATTTCTTACAAAATGATGGCAGGTGTAGGAAAAGTTAGAGAAGAAACTCTGTATGTTCCCCCCCCCCTTTTTTTTAAATTATATTTTTCTCTCTTCCGGATTGAAAGATATATCAGATTATGTCTAATCTTTAAATAGACTAATGTACATAGTTTAGGCTTATCTAGCATAATGTTATATACCCAGAACAAACATTATGTTTCTTTTTCTTTCATACATGGACTTGCTTCCACGTTTCTTTGTACAAAAATAATTTTCTAACATTATTGATTTTTCTCTATATACATTATTTCTACTATAAAAACCCACCTGAGAAGAGCACCTAGAGCTGTGTGAACAGTGTTGCAGTGCTTCAACTCCAGTAAACACAGCAAAGTGGTACCATGATACAGAAAATAAGGTGTTCCACTTCCCATTGAATTAAAGGGCAACCTCATTTTCTTTTTCAGAGCTATACAAAGGAACTTTAGCACTCCTTTGTATTGTATAGCTATAGCTACTGCAGATTTGGCTTCTATTATCCAACCATCCTATCTCATTCATTGAAGTTTGAGGGGCATTCTTTTTTTCATTGTCAATTCAGACTTATTTTCCTACCATTTTCTTTTCTTGCTATATCAACAATGGGTTCTATATTTTTCCACAGCTGCCTGCCTTCAATGCATTTTTGAATTACCTCTCCAAAGTAATTCAGAAACACTTTAATACAATTTGACACCTTGAATTCATTTGAAGTTTCAGCTTGAAAAAAAATCACCCCAAGGGGCTGATTCAATCAATCTTTTTTTTTTAGATTAAATCGCCCCTTCTAAATATTGTAGTCATAATATACAGGGCACACCTGTAGTCTCTCCATTCAAATAAAAACTGTTACCTTTTAATAGCAAGTTTGAGGTTAATTATTTTGTTTCTTTTCATTTTCTAGATGATGATTATCCTGGGTGTATTATGTACAATCATTCTTATCATAATTATAAGTGAGTAACAGAAATGTTCATTTTGACTGACTTCATTTCATTTTATATTGATCAGTCAACACTTGTGAATAAATGACTGATCAGAGCATTTACAAATTTTCTTGGCATTGTCTCCTTCCCCATTTTTATAAAGAGAAATACAAAAGATTGTATCACACAGTTAAAAAACAGCTTGATTTTGAAAGTACTTATGTTGTAACTGCCCATTTTGCTGAACAGAAAGTGTCTCTGCACATGGCAGACTGGTTTGGACTGGGAATATAAAAGGACTAATGGCTGGTAAAAGGTCAGATAAGATTTCTCAAAGAAATACAAGAGCTCTAGACCGTTGTTTTTTTTTAAATCCCAGAAGATGACAATGGTAAACACTTCTAAAGAAATCCTACTTTAAAGGGAAAATCTTTTTATGATTAGCAAGGTGGAAAACACTTCCATAAAGTAGTCTAATCTTGATTTTCTTAAAGTCACCAACAAAGTCCCTCTCAACCTTGTCATAGCATCATCAGCCAAATGCTATAAAATAGAGACTAGTTTTTATGATTAGCATGAGCACTGCACAGGATGGCTAAAGGATGTTAAGATTTCATCATCATCAGAGGTATCCCTGGCTAATGAGGACCTGCTTCATATAATATATTTAATATATCTGTTGACGTCTATTGTATGAAAACAAGTCGGCAAAGACTAATTGTACCTTAACTCACAGGTAGTCCTTGATTTACAACAGTTTGTTCAGTGACCATTCAAAGTTACAATGGCATTGAAAAAACTGTTACAACTGTTTTTCACACTTATGACGTTGCAGCATCCCCATGGTCATGTGATCAAAATTCAGATGCTTGGCAACTGATTCATATTTACAACAGTTGCAATGTCCCGGGATTATGCAATCTTTTGCTGCCTTCTGATAAGCAAACTGCAAAATCAATACGGAAACCAGATTAATTTACAAGAGTGTTACTAACTTAACAACTGCAATGATTCACTTAACAACTATGGCAAGAAGGTTGTAAAATGGGGTAAAACTCACTTAACAATTGTCTCACTTAGCAACAGAAATTTTGGATTCAGTTATGGTTGTAAGTTGAACAGTACCTGTACTGATCTGCTATGCTGAGCACTCTTTATACTCATTATTTTAATTAGAAGTACAGTAAATGGCACTATGTTGTATCAATATGGCTTTTTCCCCTTATGATCAGCATTTCAGCAGAGTGGATTAATAAGCTGATTTTCTCTGAACATCTTTTTAATCACTGATTTTCTTTTTCTTTCACACTGTGAAAGTCAAATCATTTAATATGAAGACATGGCAGCTTTGGAGCAAGTTACCGTATTTTGCGGAGTATAAGATGGACCTAGCTTTTGGGGAGGAAAATAAGAAAAAAAATTGCCTCTGCCTCCAAGCAATTTGCCTCCCTGCAGCAAACAGCAAGTTTCAGTTTCAGAACAGTCTAATTAGCACAAGCAACTGATTGTCGGGCCTCCCGACCATCAGCTGTTTCAGGTTTCAGGGATTGCCATAGCCTCCGTGTGCCCCCTTTTCCGCCTGTTCCAGGTGGCAGGGATCAGAATGGCAGAAAATGGGGTGCATAGAACCCAAAAATGGGGCAAGACGAGGCTGCAATAGGCAATGGCAATCCCTGCAGCCTGAAACAGCTGATGGTCAGGAGGACCGACTATCAGCTGCTTGTGCTAATCAGTCTATGTTGAAACTGAAACAGGCTGTTTGCTGCAAGGAAGCAAATTGCTGGGAGGCAGAAGCCAAAGGGTGGGGGGCAGTGGGTGGGAGGGGCTACATTTGATGTATAAGACACACTCAAATTTTCATCCTCTTTTAGGGGTGAAAAAGTGTGTCTTATACTCCAAAAAACACGGTACCTCCATTTCTCATTTGGCTGAATGTTGGTAATACAGAGTAGGTGGAGAGACAATTTCTTGATTAAAAAGAGCTTAAATTGTTAGCTCGCTCCAATTCAAAGCACATCATTCAGTGCACGAAGTCCAAACAAGTCTCAGAAAGAAAGAAAGAAAAAGTTTACATTGATTCTCTGAAGTTTATTCATTTGTTTAGTTTTTAAAGTAGTGACTGGGATATAAATCTCCAGGATTTATTGTAGAAATAGAATTTGCTATATATTAAATCTATAGATGAAAATTAAGTGCCATTTGGGGGGCATTAATCATGAAGCAAAGGTGAGTCATCTCAGTAAACTTTTAGTAAAATTTTAAATTTTAAGATATTTGTTTTAAATCTGGAGAATGTAAATGACTATTTTATTTCTCTGTGTTATCCATTGTTACTAAAAATATGTTGTTGCACATGTGTCTGCTCAGCAGACAAATCTCAGTTCTTCAGCTAGGAAACATAAAGGAGATTAACAATATTTTCATTATTTTTTCTTCCAGTTTATTTCTGCACCTGAAATACTAAGAACAAATGGATTGATGTGGCTACACTCAACTTTACTGATAATTCCACAAATGAAATTGAAACTTTATTTTTATGTCTTGGGATTGGTTGCTTGCAACAATGTGTAAAGATTGTTTGTTCAGGGTTCAGTTTTCATGGGTTTGTTTTGCTTTTGTTGGGGGTATGTGCTGTTCCTAGAAAAATGGTGTGCCAGTTAAAATATTGCCAACTAGTTTCATACATCGATCTCTTGCTGTGTCTTAAAATATGAGAATGGTGATCTTTAAAAATGTGCATTCTTGACAGCTATTTCATCTGAATGAAAAAAATCACCAGATAAAAATAAAATGGATGGTGCAAATGGGCTTTGACTGAAAGAATATTAAATAATGGCAAGTTGTTTGTAAAATTAGGTACCTTTACACCATAAAAACCACCTCAGATTTATAAGAGCTGATCTTTATAACAGCAGTTTAAAACAGATTCAAAGCAATTCTAGGGCTATGATAATCCTGTGATAGGAGTCACGCGTAAGGAAGAAAGAACAAACCTTGTACTCTCCCCATTCTCCAAGCTGAATACAAATAATAATTATAAAACTTACAACAGATTTTTTTAAGAGTTCACAATATCTTGCAATATTCCAAGATATGGGTGGGTTGGGAAACAAAATTAAATCCAGTAATATCCAGGGCAGACATAATTAACTTTTGAAGCAGCATGAGAGTTCATGACTGGGTTCCTAAGGTCACTCAACAGTATTTACATGTAAGCAAAGACTTGATTTATCCCTGTCCACATCTTCCATTAGACCTGTGGTCAGCATGTGATATTCTTGAGTAGCTACTGAAGCTTTAGTGCCTAGTCAGAACTCACCACTGACACCTGTCCTGCTCCTATATTATTTTTCTGGCATTCAGTATTAGATACCTAACAGTGGTGCAGTGGTGGGTTTCAAAATTTTTTGGAACCTCTTCTGTAGGTGTGGCCTGCTTTGTGGGAGTGGCTTGCTGGCCATGTGACTGAGTGGGAGTGGCTTGGCAGTCATGTGACTGGGTAGGAGTGGCCAAGACAATGTCACTGAATTCTTTGCCCCAATAGATGATCTACAAAGAGATATAAAAAAGGAAATTTATGATTTTGTGTACTNAGGAGGAGGAGGAGGAGGAGGAGGAGGAGGAGGGGGAAGGGGAAGGGGAAGAAGGGGAGGAGGAAGAGGAAGAGGAGAGAGGGAGAGAAAAAAAGCAAAGTAAACAGATATAATCCATTAGGCTGACAGCTACACATGTTGTGCTCATCATCAGAAAACATGTGAGAGATGAAAAACAATGACAAACAAAATAACACGATTTATTGTATTTAAACTCTACCAGATTAGAAAAATATGTTTATTTTCAATCTTTGACTTGTACTATATTTGAAGTAAGTTATATTCTTCATTATGAAGGAATTGACAGTTATTGTAATATTGGGTAGTGTTCAATACAACCTATAAATTGTTGCAGGAACTTCCACTTCTCAAATCTATGTCCAATCAGGATGAATATACTGGAATGTTGATATTCATTAATTGATTGATTGATTGATTGATTAATTGATTCATTCATTCTTTTAAAATTGTTGGACATGACACAAATAATATCTATTAGGGGAAAGTAAGTGCCTACACACACTAGCTATATTAAAAGAGGACAAGACCTCTGCATTAATTCCTCATGTAAGAACAGTGATGCTTAAGATCTTATCTGGGAGAATAAAATTATACTTAGAGAGATAAACGAACAAGCAGATTTCAGAAAGGTAGAGGTGAAGGAGATCAGGTAGTTAACATAATATATGTATTTGTTGGTTTGTTTATTTATTTATAAACAACTTAGGTCAGAAATAAATGTTAGAAGTACGTTTTTAAGGTTGCCATTTTTTGGGCTATATTAACATTCATGGCATCAGTTTTACTCAGTGACCAAATGTATGTACTCTGTATTGTTTTCATGGTTCTTCATTATTCTTATGATGAATGATGTTCAGAGTCACTTGTTGACTCTGACTATAGAAATCAATCAAATAAATAAATAAATAAATAAATAAATAAATAAATAAATAAATAAATAAATAAATAAATAAATAAATAAATAAAGCAAAACACAGGAGTAACTTAATAACATTAACATAGATCAAAAATTGGATAAAGGAGGAGGATTATTCTTCCTTCCTTCATATCAAGACCTTTGTGTCAATCATGCCAGGCTGTGGAACATATTATGGTTAATAAAACTACCATAACAAGAGATTATTCATCTGAGAAATTTTTACACTTAAGACAAAAAGCTGCTATAAAAACTTAATTTTGAGAAGTGATTCAAAATTTAAAAAGATATGGAAAAGCATGCATGTTTACACAGCCAATGGATTTATTTATTACAGTGATGGGATTCAGGATGACAACTGAAATCAAGAGTGGAGGTCAAAATACTAACTATAGATATGCAGATAACATCACTTCATTAGTTGAACGTGTCAGGCTTCACCCTAGAGCTGGCCAATAAATCTTGACTCTCCTGACACTTAATCTCTTATTCAAGAATAGGCTTACTCAGCAGAAGAGTCTCCAATGCAATTTGGTCAAATTAGGCTATTGTAGACAAGCTGCTTTGTCCTTTGCAGAGGAAAGAAATCAAAGCTTTTATATTTGACTGTTCTCAGGATACGAACTTTGGGTGTTTCTTTCTGCCTTCTCAACAGATGCTACAATTTTGCTTGTCGTGGATTTGGAGTGCTCAGGCATGTTTATATGACAGGTTATGACTATGCTATAGTCTAGAAAGATTTAGCCATTCAAAAAAGTCAAGACGACTTAAAATAATTGTTGTGCCCTAACTATTTAGTCGTGCCCCTATTCTTTTTTTATTTTTTTAATAAAAAATATTTTTAATTTAAAGCAAACACAACATCCTTCTTTACATGCTGTAGAAAGTGTATCAGTTG